TGTATGACTTTTATTTCATTGACTAGAATATCGGGTTACTTGGAGGCTTTCAAAAAAATAAATTTGATCATTGTAATTAGACACGTGTAGCACTAAACAGTTGTTTGTATTTAAAGATGTATCGATAAGGCTCTTCAGATCTTCAAGCACCTGTCTGTATTGAAGCACTTATTATCTCAACAGGATTATATAAGACCAGCCAATTAAGGTTAAAGGATAAAGACCATATAGATAAAATGCACCAATCTGAATCATATTTTAGGTCTCAAACATGTCAGATTGAATATTAAATCTCCTTAAATATTAATTTTAATCTGTTTTGCTGTGACAGAGCTGTTAATGGATATTACAGCTGACGTGTGAAATCTCCAGGGGGCAACTCAAACAAGCAAACAAAGCCAGCATTAAGAAAACATTATTTACAATTTGGCACAAATGGATAATTGACTCTTATTTAGGATAGCTTTTTTTTAGAGAATAAAGCTGCTGAAAAATAACTGCTCATGCCTAAAGAGGAATAAAATCAAGTAAGAGAAGGCATTTAGACAACTCGGGCACTATCTCAGAGTCTTTTATTGGATATTTAATTTTTTTAAAACAGAATATACTACTGGGGGAAATAAACACGGCTGATAGTTCAGTTACTACCTACAAATGCCTAATTTTAGTAGAAATACAGAGCAGCAACATGGTTATCTATGAGTGTGTTGTTACGTAAATTTCTTATTTGAGTTACATCAACGCTTTGGAACACTTATCTTAACTCTTTACCCCTTTAAAGCCTACTAGGAGTAACCCTTAAAGCTCTTTTCTGAACTGAGTGATTTCTGTCATATTTCAGGCCTGAATGACTGAGTTTGCATTAGGGCTGCCACGATTAGTCAACTAGTTACGATTACGTCGACTATCAAAATCATCGACAACAAATTTTATAGTCGACGCGTCGTTTGAAGATTTTTAATATCCTGAAAGATGCAGGAATAAGCAGACTGAAACAGAAGATGGCAGCAATGCATCTACAAGGATGCCAGCTGCCGTTAAACGCCGAAGAAGAAGAAGAAGAAG